CTCAACTCCTGAAATTTCAGATACAGAGCTTATTATAGGATCAGCTCCTATGGCCGGATCATCAGGAAACAGGTTGCAGAAAAATTGCAAGGAAGCAAAGCTGTCTTCCTGCTGCAGAGACAATCTTGTCTCATCTTGATCTCCAGATTCACTTCCTGTTGCAGTCCTCACACTTCTTTGATTTCCCACTTTACATTTCCATGGAACTCCAGCTAAACCTGCTGTTTCTATCAGGAGTTGCTCCAGACTCAGAGCAGGCAGCATCCATCCTGTGTGAGTCCATGTAGTCCTGCTGTCTAGCTCTTCAAGAACTCACAGGACTCCATTTGATGCCTTTAAGTCCACTCAGAGCTGCTGCCAGATCACAGTCCCACCACGGCCATGTTCTCTCCTAGTCCCCTGGACCTCACTCTACACTCCAGAGAGCTCTGCCCAGCCTGGGCTGGGTGGGCACAGTTATTGCAGATGGTGGGAGCAGAGACGTGGTGCAGATGACACACAGTCACCTTAGAGCTGTGCTGCCCACAGGTTTGTTGCTGCAAGTGTGGCCAACAGCCAGCCCTCCTCATTGCTGCCTCTCTTCTGGCATTGGCCAGTGTAGGCACCTCACAGCCTTGCAACAAATAAAACAGGGTCACAAAGAAGGACTTAAGGCACAAGGACTGCAGCTCTCAGCCTCCCCAGCCACCCCCCCTCCTATGGCCCGGGGTGCCTGGCACGGTCAGTTGTGCTGCAGCCCAGGCACCCCAAGAGCTGCCACCGGGCTGGAGCAGGAGGCCAGGACTAGAGAGCTCTGGCTGGTCTGCACCTGGCACAATCTGGAGCAGAACAGGAGATCAAGGCAGGTCTGGTGCCAAGAGGGCTTTGTCCTGTGGGCTCAGATCCCACTTGTGCAGGCTGATTGGAGGAATGCTCCTCTGCTTCTTGCTCCTGCTAGAACAAGAGCTACCGCTGAAAGCCTCTCCCCCAGGGCCCTCACAGGGTTAAAAGCCTCTCCTCTGCTTGAAAACCTCAAGTACATGCAGGCTTTTCCTCATGCAGGTAAGACAAACTGGACAGCACCTGGGGACATTGCCGGGTTTTCCCTTTTACCAAGCACTGGATGCTGCCCACTGCTTGCTCTTGGACACAGAGGTAAGGGAGGGCTGGGAGGGCAGGACGGCTGCCCATGGTAGGGCAGGGCCTCACTCTTAGTGGGACCCTCACAGGGGTCCCTATTGGCACACTACTTGGGGGCAAACCCAGACCTGGCATCCAGGGCTTCTGGGCGGTCTGGGTATGCAAGCAGGCTGTGGCTGCTGGTGACACCTCAAAAAACTGAATCCAGTCGTTTTCGGGATAAATTAATCCTGCGTTATTGCCAGCTCCCTCAGTTCAGCTGTCACCTCAGACTGGGACTGGACTGCACCCAAGGCTCAGGACCCTACCTCCCATGGCTATAGGCTCCAGGCTGTCTAGTCTGCTCACCTGAGTGCAAATGGGATGCGGTGGCTTGGCAAACGCCTCATCCTCCTGCAGGAGCGTCTGGCTTCCCTGGGTGGGCATGGAGCACATCTGGCCTCCTGTAGGACGAAGAGTGATATAACTCACCCCAAAACTCTGGAGCTGTGCAGAAGTGCACATTGGTGACATAAGGCACTCTGCTTCAGGGACTGCAACAGAGCTGAGCTGAGTCTCAGGCTGCCACATCACCATTGCACCGGTCAGGGGTCCCTTCCTTCCAGGGGCAATGACAGAAAGCAGCTGCTGCCTAGCACTGATGGCATCAGTGCTTCCTCTCTGCCCCCCTACCCAGCCTTTCTGGACTGGCCAGTGGTGAGCAAATGTGTGGCTGCACTTGGAAATATTTGGTAAGTCATTATTTACCATGAGAAATCACCTTCAGTGCAACTGAGAGAGAGAGGAAAGGAGCTGCAGCAAGGTGGAGACTCTTTCAGTGCTCATTCCTGTGCAGTCCAAGGTAGGAAGGGAGATTTTCCTGACATGTTGTCCTATTTCATTGTGTATGGGATGTCTGAGGACAAAGGGTTTAGGTCTGGGATTTCTTGTCATGGGGCTGTGTCCACTGACTGCTGCATTGCTCCGGACCATGGTGAAAAATCAGGGTCATTCCTCCACGTGAGCCCTGTGGCTGTACTGTAGCTCCGTAGCTCCATGCCTCATCCAGCCTGAATTTGTCAGCATGGGGAGAGCATCATCTGCAGCTCTCCAGAGCTCACTGTCACTCCTGCAGCGGAACTGACAATCCTATGCTGCTGCTGCAACTGTGATGACTTACATGTCATTGCTGTGTACCTGTGTCAGACCAAGGGCTCGTTGATAGCACGCGATGGGCTCACACACCTCTTGCTCACCTGCTCTTACTTCCAAGTGTTGAACCCCAGTTTGGAGCAAAACCGGGTGACTAACCCTTACATGCCTAGCCTCCTACTGTTAAATGTATTCTTATTTCTATCGCTCTTGTTCCTGAGGTCCCCTATTCCTCCTGTGTAAACAGGCAGGTGCCCGCCTTCACTGGTGCCAGCTTCATCCATAACTTGTCAGCAGATTACTGCCTCTGGCTAGTGGGTCAGTAGTGAAAGCATCCAACAAGGTCTGGGACAGAGCCTTCCCCTCTCACACCTATACCGTGGAGGCACTTGTGCCCTAACAGAACCACCAACTGCCTTAGCACTGTGGAAGTTCACACGTGCATAATTTTGAATTTATACAGATCAACGGGCAACATCGTGAAGCTTTACAGACAGGGATGGCTGGGGACAGGAGGCAATTCCTAGGGAGTGCTGCTGCGGTCTCTCCCGGCTCTTGTCCCTCTCAGGCACCTGCTCCCGGCTGCAATGCTGGGCCAAACGAGTTGGGCTGCTCTTGCACCAAAATGCACACAGCTTTGGCTGGGGGCTGGCTGGAGGAAGAGCAATGACCTGAGGTTTCCAGAATATTGGATTGTGTAGTCCTTATGTACCTGTCTGATGTGTGCAAAACTAGTAATTAAAAAACCCACCTATTATGGAATATGGTGATCTGGGAGACTGCTGGAGAGCTTGTCCAGGCAGTGGTTTCTCAGCCTTGGAGCACCCACATCCAAGATGGAGTAATGAGTTTGGATGTCGTTATGCTAGGCAAAGAAGAATTGATCTATTGACTGAAAGTTTTCCTCTCAATATTAAAAGTAAAAAAAAGAAGTTGAACAACTGGAGAGCAAAAGAGAAATTAATCAGAACTCAGCTCTTCTACTTGGCAAACATTGATCCTGACCACATTGCGCAAATAGAAGCAAGAAGAAAATACTATTAGAATAGAGGGTCCTTAATCTGGAAGACCTGAAAATTATGAATGAGATAGAGTTTACATTTGAGCAATTCCAACAAGAAAAAAAAGCACACAATTTTTAACAGTGCTTTGACAATTTCTTGCAGTAAATAGCTATAAGAAAAAAACCTCCCAACAGAAGCAGTGAAGTCTCCATTGCTCAACGTTTTAAAATCATGACTGATATGTAGATTGATGCTTCGGATAGATAAAATAAAAACAGATTAATCGGTGTAAAGCCAAGGTACAACCTCAAATTTAACCGTGTTGTTTAAATTCATGAAAGGACATGACAATTGAACGCAGTTGCTAAAAATGCATCTACAAAGAGGAGGGGAATGATTTGGGGGGTTTTTTTTGGTCATATTCACTTGGTCTTATATAATGGCAATGGGCCCCTGCATAGCCATCAGGGAACATCTTTAATGTCTAGTACATGGAGAGTGACATGAATTGGTAACTTGTCTGGGAACACTGTTGAATCCTGACCACAGGAGGTTTGTCAGGGTTACCTGTAAGGAAAAGCTCCTCACAGCTGCCCTGTGCTGAGGCAGGCAGGCCTTGTTTTGAAGTGTACAATTTCCAAGTCAGAATAGCAGGGAACTAAATCCTTGAGCTCGGTGATGTGCAGTGCCCCCTCGCATCCCAGCCATATCCCAGTGCTGTCAGTGAGAAGCTGCCCAGAAACCAGCACTGGTCCTGCCACATCTCCTGGCAAACATGTACTCAGCGATGGCCAGTACATGGCCAGTTACCTTATTCTGCGATTCAGGAATAGTTTAGTGCTAATATCTAGTGTGGCAATCTAATGGAGCCAAAGAAAAAGCTGCATAGAGAGAACAGGATTTTATTATGTACATCCTTAAGATCACCCGTGGTTCCCCAGGGTGCCCTGTATTGTCATGCAGCCACAGTCTGCCCTGGTGCTTTCCAGCCCTGTTTGCCCCCTTGTCACATATGTGATCTTAAGGCTCTCTGGATCCTTTTCCTCACCCAGCCGAGAGTAGCCCCTGGTTTCAGACTGGCTGAGGGCAGTGCATGCATGGCAGCCCTCTGGACTCTAAAATCCTAGTGTGTGTGAAATCCCAACACGGGAAGCTTTCAACCGCTATGGATATAGGACCAAAGCCATCCCACCAGTGAAACCCTGGCCTTCTGGGTGGTTGTGCTATGGTCCCCTGGCTCACAATCACCATCTCCTCCTCACAGTGTTCATTTCTGCCCACAGACCAACCCAGCCGGCCCCATGGCAGGTGAGAACCAGACTTATGTGACGGAGTTCACGCTCCTGGGCTTCTCCCGTGGCCAGCCCTTCCTCTTTGTTCTTTTCCTGGCCATTTACCTGGCCACACTGCTGGGTAACTCTGCAATACTTGCCCTCGTGTCCCTGGATCCCCATCTCCACAGTCCCATGTACTTCTTTGTCAGTCACCTGTCCTGCTTGGACATTTGCTGCTCATCAGTGACGGTGCCCAAGATCCTGGCAAATGCCCTGCGCCCACAGGCAACCATCTCTTACTGCGGGTGCCTGGCACAGATGTTTTTCCTGATGGGGTGCGCAGGGGCCGAGTGCGCACTCCTGGCTGTCATGGCCTACGACCGTTACGCTGCCATATGCCAGCCCCTGCACTATGCCCGTGCCATGAGCCGGGGTGTCTGCGTGGTGGCGGCCGCCGGCTGCTGGCTCTGGGGGATGCTGGACTCGGCCGTGCACACCCTCCTAGCCTCCAGGCTCGGCGCTGCCCGGCTCCAGCACATCTTCTGTGACGTCCCCCCACTTCTGAGGGCCGCCTGCAGCAACACTCGCCCCAGCGAAGTGGCACTCCACGCTGCCAGTGTCTTTGTGGGCCTCACCCCCTTCCTGCTTGTCTTTGTCTCCTACCTCCGCATCCTGGCCACTGTCCTCGGGATGCCCTTGGCCACCAGCCGGCACAAGGCCTTCTCCACATGCTCTGCCCACCTGCTTGTGGTCGCCCTGTACTTTGTGACGGCCAACCTGAACTACAACCGGCCCAGCTCTGGCTACTCCCCGGCAGCCGACACACTGATCTCCGCACTGTACTGCATCATCACCCCCATGCTGAACCCACTCATCTACAGCCTCCGCAACCAGGAGGTGCGGGGGGCCCTGCGGAAGGCTGTGCGGGGATGGGGCACGCTGGGCTCCCCAGGTAGTGACGCGTGAGCGATACCAGGGCTGCAACAGAGTGCCGGCGTGGCGCTAGTGCAGCATCACTCATCTGTGGGAAACCTTCCATGGCAGCAGTGGGCTCAGGGCTCCCTGCCCAGGCAGTGGCTGCTTGTGGCACACTGCCATCACTTGTCTGCCCCTCAGCACATCACTGATGGCAAAATCAAGTTGGAAACAAGGGTATGGTTCCACGATTATGTCTTTATTTTGCAAGTGTCATGTGCTGAGCTCAGCACAGGACCTGTTGCAGCTACAGAAAAGGCAATTCCATGTGCCACCGGACACATGCTGGTCCCAAGCAAGGCTGTGAGCTCTGCCTTTGGGCTGCCCAAGGTGCTGAGCCAGGCCCTGCACGGGACAAGGGGCAGCATCCTGGACTGCAAAATCTGGCCTCCACTAAGGGGCTGTCACATCATCCTCCCACACACGCTTTGTCACGGAGTCTGATGTCTGCTGGGTTTCTCCAAGCTGCCATGAAAGCTCTGCAGCATTTTGTACATTAGCACAGCAACCGGCAGTTTAAACACGCCACCAATTATTCTCAGTGTTTTGGTCAAACAGCAAGTTATCAGCACTGAGCTGTGAGCTGGCATTGCTTAAATCCTCACCAGAAATGCTTGTTTTCTCTATAGCCATAAAAAAATCAAAGTGCAGTTGTCGTGAGTGGTGTGGCTGTGGACAACAGTGGCTGAGGGCTGGCTGGTGATGTGGGGCAGCCAGCTTTGTGAGGCTGCCACTACTTCAGCTTAACCTCTTCTTGCAGGGGCCTGCAACTGACTCCAAACTCAAAATAACTGCGTGGGTGTTGGGGCAATCTCACTGCTGGCCAAATCTGTGGGTGGTACACAAGGGCCAGCAGCGTCCAGTGCCACAGCAGAAGCCAGGAGCAGCCAGCCACCAGTGCAAGGGTCTGGTGGGGAGGGAAGCTGGCACATGCTGTGCGTGCAGGCGCATGCCTGCAGCCACAGCAGAGCTTCTGCAGCTGTGCCGCAGAGGGGCACGTTGCTGGAAGGGGCCAAACATGCTCATCCTCAGGTCAATACCAGGAGATACCCAGCAAAATCCAGTCTGTTCCCAAAGAAACCTGCTGGAGCATCAAAAAAAAGGCCTGTGAGGCATACAGCTGCTGGGAGCACTTTGTCTGTTCTTCTTACTGCACAACACACACTGACTTATTCCTCAGGGAAAAAAAATGTTTCTAGAACCCATGTGTTGGGACAGCCTGTTGCTCCTACCCAAACAGGTTGCAAGCCTCTCAGCCAGGTCTACGCACTATACACCCTTCTTGATTGTAAAAAATTATTGAAACACCCCTAGTTCAGAGTCTCACTGGGACACATGAGTCTGTCACGACGAGGCCCATTCTGGAGAACTCCCCGGAAAGGAACACCAGGAAATAGAGAGTGAACTGCATGAGGAAAAAATATTGGGAAAGTTATTTCAGAAAAAAAAACAAACCAAAACAAAACCAAACCAAAACCAACCAAATCAAAACCGTCCAGAAAATTTACATTAAAATTGACAATTTTTTAACCTGAATCAGTGTGTCTTTCCCATGATTGACAGACACAGGTTGCGATTTTTCTCAGCTCAAGTGCAGGATGGTCCAGCTCCAACCTGTGAGCTGCACTGAGCTCTAAAGGTGTCACAGTGGGACCCTCTGCACCCCTGCCACTGGCAGTGCTGGGCTGTGCTCCTGCAGTTTCTCACATGCCGTGTCCCTGTTTTATTCTTACTGTGATGGTATTTGCACACCACAAAGGAACAACAACCAACTCCTACAGTGACATGTTGAGCATCTAGCCTGGAATATACTGGTTCAAGGCAGGGCTTCAGTTTGCACTGGATTATTACTGAAAACTGCTTTAAACATTAAAAATAAAAAATTTCCTCTTGCCCTGCTTCCCACCTGCTCAGCCTTTTCCCCACATCTGTGACAAAGGAGGGCTAGAACAGGGGCCCTTTTCACTGTGCAAGGAACCGAGCCTACAACAGACAGAGGGGACATGTGCTGTCGCAGAATAACCAGGATGCAGTTTTAGTCAGAACAGAAACAGTTTATTACTAGTTACAAGGTAGAGCACAGCACAGCAGAGTGACAGACACTGCTGATATGAACTCTGTCCAAACGGGGCAGTTACAGAGTTTATGCACCTTTAGGTTATGCAGCTCATTCTTCACCAAGCTGTGTCAGATAAGCAGGATATTGTAAACAACAACAGCATTCTTCAGATAAGGAGGCTCTAGCCAGCACACTCTTTAACAGATAATTCACTCCTTTGTTAATTAAACTGGTGAGACCATTGCCTGCAAATTTCACTGCCACACTGGGGAGGCCTGACTTCAGCACAGGGACCCAAACCACGCAAGAGCAGAGAGAACAGGCTGAGCCAAAGACTGGATGGGGGAACCTACTTTTAGCACTGACTGCAAAAAACACTGGAGCCCTTAGGCTAGAGACAAGCTGTGGGACTGCTCTTCCTGCCTCACCTGCATGTGTATGCTTATTTATACTGTCAGAGCAGTTAACAGGAAAAATGGAGCTCTCTTAAAAATATTCTACTGCCTGTCTCAAGCAGCACTTATTCGAATTAATTTGCTGGACTGAAAGGATTTCCCTAGCAGAACATTCCTCTGATAGGCTGCCTGGATGAGGACTAGGACAGTTATTAACATACTCTATGTTAAGTGAAGCCTTTTAGTATTTTTCTCTCTTGCTCCAAGACAGATTTTCCAGAATATTTTTTCTCAGAAAATAATCTCATTTTTACACTTCCTTTTTTGAAGTTTACCCCAAACATGACACATCTCCCAACAGCATTCTTGGCACGCAGAGGAAAACCAGGCAGGTAATCTCCTACCTTAGCAAGATCATCCTACATTTTCATCAAGCCAGCACACACTTCTCTTGCTTAATGGAACAGCTCACTACAGCCAAGCTTGTGGCCATGTGCAGGAAAAGTCGGCAGTGTTCCCCGTGATGGTCAAATGTTCCCAGGCTCCAGCCCTGAAATCTGCCCAGACAGACCAGGTTCATGTTTCTCTACCCTGTGCTGCAAACACAGTTCGTCCTGCAAGTGGATGCTCCCTTCTTCGGAACAAAGGCAAGTTTGGCCTTCACAGTGCTCTTTTCCTTGACCCCTGGGTAGGATGGGATCCAGGCCCATATCAACTGAAAAAGGTCCCACAGCTCATGTCCCTTCTGCCTTGACTGGATTAGAGTTGGTGTTTCTTTTTTGTGAATTGCCCTGTTGGGAACAGAATGGACACACTTCTCCTGCAAGCTTGCTGGTTGACATGTGGGACAGTCTAGGTAGAAAAGACATCTTGTATCGCACTCACATGCTCTTAAACCATCCCACCTTTCTCATTTGGAAGCAGACAGGAACCAAAGTCCTCTCGGGCACAAGGCCTACACACTCCCTCAGACAATGACAGTTTGCTCCTTTGTGTTTCTCGCATGTAGACTTGTCAGGCCAAGCCAAATTAAGCTAATAACACATAAAAGGCTGAAGCAGAGAGAGGCAAAAGATTGTAAGGAAGCAACTTGGACAATGCTGTTTTCACTGCAGAAGCTTCACGTAATTTGCTGGAAAGAGGCCTACTTTGCCCCGGCACTGCCCCCGCCACCAGCCTTCATCTACCATCTCAATGTGTGTGATTGTGTCGTCAGGATCAAAAGATATCTCATCATCTCCATCTGCAAAAATTGTTCAGAAAGATAGTCACAATGCAAAGATAACCCCAGAGAAAGCTGGTTTTACATCGCTCCTCCCACCACCCCCCAGGAGAATACAGAACAAGCATTCAGACTTCATCTCATCCAACCCCCATTAAACAGCACAGATAAAGCAGAGAAGGAGCAAGGCTTCACAGATGAAAGATGAAGATTCTGTGTTCCCAAGGCAGTTCTCACTCCGCTTTCCAAGGGGAAGAAATTTAAAGCACCAAGTCAAAATTTTTTCACCACTGCTGATGGTGTAAGCCACCACCTCCCTGTCACACCACCCCGGCCAGCTCCCAGTGCCTCTCCTCACAGCCTGGATGGCAGACCCACCTCCTTGGTAATCGTAGAGAGCCACCGCACAGGTCCCAGGACTCTCCACCTCATAAACATTGTCTATTTCCCCTGCAGAAGACAAGACAGGCAGATGAAAAAGAGGCTGAAAGCAGCCATATAGATCCGGTCAGTGCCACCCTCCACCCAGCTGTTAGCCTTGGGGTGAACCACAACCAAACCCTATCAACAGGGAGAGGTGTACCATGGCTCAAAGCAAGGTATGACTTCCTTCCCCTTCTGCAAGGAAAGAGGCAAGGTCCCTATTATGGACGTAACTGGGCATTACTCCAGCCTCTCCACTTAGCAAATCCAGTACCAGTGAAGCTGCAACAGAAACATCAATAGAAGCTCATGCAGTTTGCTCATGTGCTTGGAGGAAGACTACCCTGCACTCCTCACGCCCAGGAAACACAACACCGGATCAGGTCTCATGAGCACCAGTCATTCAAGTGACAGACTGAATGAAGCGGGCAACCCCAGGCCTCAGTGCAGCACTGGCAGTCACTTGCCAGGAAACAGTGCACCAAGAGCATCAGACCAGGTCCAGCTTCTTCAGAGCCCACAGCAGCCCTCTGGTCCTTCTGCCTGAGTCCTGCTCCAGCAGAGATACTTGCTGCCTGGCCCAGCATCCCATGCAGCTGACCTCGCACCTTAGAGCCGGGCAAGGGAGTGGGACACAACCAAGCCTCCATCATCATGGGATGCTGCTCTGACCACAGCAGATTTCAGGATACAAATCATCCCCTCTGGAGTCTGTCCCATACATCCAGTGAGTTGAGTGGACAGACACAAGCTCCCCAAGACATAGGCTCTTCCATCAGTACTCACCCAGGTGGGACTGGCCTTGGCTGGGGTCCTCAGGAAGGATCTCCTCATAGTCCTCACCTCCACCTCCTCCGTGGTCATAGATGGCATCCAGCTTTCCCAAGGGTGCTGGCACCTCCTCATAGTCAGCACCTCCATTGGTACTGTCACAGTAGTCAGAGGGCTCTGGCAGCTCCTCATAGTCTCCACCGACATCCAAACTTTCACAGTAGATAGGCTGATCCTGGCTGGGGACCTTGCACAGCTCCTCACCCAGATCTGCTGGCCGTGGAGGCAGAGTGGGTGGTGTTTCCTCATCCTCCCTTTTTGCCTCCTGCCATGAAGTGAGAAAGAGATAGAAAGTCACCTGCAAAGCATCCACTGCAGGCAGCTCTCCCATGACTGCACACCACCCAACACAAGGGAGCCTGCTCCACTGCAGGTGCCTTTAGTGCTACCACGTCACAAAAGGAGCACCATCCTCTGCACAACAGGGAAACAGCTCAGCCATTAGGTCTGTGCTGAACTGGCACCTGGGATTGCTGTGAAGACCCTCACGGCTCATCTATTACATTTGAGCCTCTCTCACATACTTAGCTATGGCTCACTGTACTGCCACTGCACTGACCCACTCCAAGAGCCCATCTCACAGTGTATGGTGCTGTGCAGCCATGTCCCATCTCCATCCCAAAGTTTCCCCCCCCGGCTCCTTCCAAAGCCTCTCCCACGCTGGGGCTGCACTCCACATCTTCCTGCAGGGCTGCTTGTAAAGCACAGCCGCCTCTCAGGTGCAATCCCCTCTGCCTGCTCCCCTGCCTGGCTCTCCCCAGCCCGCCTTGGCACCTGGTCTCCTGGTGGCACAGGCCTGTCTTGGTCAGCACTCCCAGGCACCCTTGCTTGCACGGTGGCAGGGGCTGTCTCTGTGTGCTCCTTCTCTCTCTGTGGGATTTCCTGCTGGAGAAAAGTCATCAGATCCCCTCAGTCCCTTTGAATAAGGTCCAGAGCAATGTCTGTTCCCATTCCCAGCAGAACAACTCAGAAAATTTTCCTTCAGCTGAAACCTGTTCCAGCTCCCATAAATCTGCTCTAGGGACTGGACACTAGAAGGCCTGTAATGACTATGGGGTCTGCAGAAAGCAGCCTTGAGAAGGCAATGTATCATGGAGCGCTTTACTGGTGCAGCCTTAACTGCACATTGAATGCAGGAACAGCACAAGGCAGAAGGAGGTCTTGCAAACATGAGGGTTTGGGTGCAATCTCCAGTTTGGAAAACACTGCACACAGACCGTTGGGATGGTGATAACTGGGGAGATGTGATTGCACTGTGTTTGCCAGGCACTAGAGGCAAGAAGAAGTCTAGGCCAAAGCACAGTGGGTCATGGCTGGGTGCAGGCACATCCTGATCCGCGTGCCGAAAAAGAAAATCCAGTGACAGCTGTAAAGTTCAATGGCAGTCCCTGGCAGTTGCAGGGAAGTTTAGGTAAGAGGTTACTGTAAAGAGAGCGGGTAGAAGGACATGGAGCTGCATGGCCCTGACTGCTTCGCAAACCTTGGAGGACATGGCAAGATGGCCATGGCTCACCTGCCACCGAGAGGCCTGGCACTTCCAAGCTTGCTGCCTCACCCGGTCCTTCTCTGCCTGCCTTCTATTCTCCTCTGCTGACTTAGCCATGTTTTCAAACCGTGACCGGAGACTGCTGGTGCTACTGGAAGCTCCTGTGGAGAAGACAGCTGATCAAGCCTGCCCAATGGCTCCCTTCCACCACCCCGAGCATCTGGGAGAAACCGAGACCTCTGTCTCTCCCAGAGAAGCTTGCTGTTCAGCCACCTCCTCCTGCCCCCCAACACAGGTTAAATCCGCATCCCACCACAGCACATGCCCGCTAGTGTGCTACCACAGAGGGACCACAAGGCCCACAGCTTCCCACCAAGCCCAGGGCTGGCACTCAGTTGTCTCACCTGCCTCCAGTGGTCTTGTTTTCTCATACGAGGAGGTGGGAGCTACCATCTCATCAAAGCCACCAGCACTCTGCAAGACGAAATGAATGAAGCAGCCAGCTTGTGAGGCAGGACCAGTGCTGAGATCCCCTGCTGGGCTACTGGAGACTGCAAGCTTTATTCCCAGCTGTGTCCATCATCTACGCGACTGCCGCTGCCCTGTGGAGGCTGCTGGCTGCAGCCCCGCTCTCCCGAAGACTCCCTGCGCTGCGGGACCGCCTGCTGCCCTCCAGCCAAAGGCAGGGGCTGTTCCTGTTACAGGGCTGGTGCTCCGGGGGCTGAAAAGGCTACGCGGAGCCAAGCAGAGGAGGCTGCACGGGGCCAAGACAACTGCTGCACAGCACAGCAAGGCTGAGCATTCAAGGCAGAAGCACTCACTGCTAATGTGGCCAAGAGCTAAGTGGATGCCTGGCAGTCTACCACCTCCTGAGGCCCAGGGACCCAACGCATCTGTCCCCTGTGCTCCCAGTGGTACGAGGCATGGAAGCACTTCCCTACTGGATGTGCGGCTGCAGCTGCCTAACTGTGAGAAACACGTGTCCCTTCAGCAGTTAGCTGCCTGCAGTATGTGCATCCGTAGCATAGACTGGAAAACATCAAAGTGAAAACCTGTGTGAAGACCAGAGATGGCTGGCTTTGTGAGGTGTGAAGATATGGCTTGACTGGTAATGCCATCGACGGGGTGTTTGCAGCAAAAAGAAAGTGAGATACAGTGGGGTTATCCACTTTCAAGAGAAAACGATTTCATACAAAAAGGGAACTGCAGGTAGGATCCAGCTTTCAGACTAACACAGCTACATTTAGGGTAGTATCTGCAGGTGTCACCAATGGGCTGGGTGGACGAGCTCCTACTACAGTCAGTGGAGCCCAGAGAGCAGCTCTGCTTTCCTTAAAGAAAACACACCTGAGCAGGGAAATAGCACTGCAGGCTCCGAACCAGGTCTACACAGACCACAGCAGAGACTTGGACGTGTTCTTTGTACGACAGAATTTAAATGTAGGAGTCTTAGTGTGAGAGTTGAATCCTACACTTAGTGTTCAAGACTTTATCAAAGACGAGTTAAGATTGCCTGGTAGTATACGACACTCCAGAGTATTGGAGCAATGAATACAGCACTACTCCAGTGCCTGAAAACCAGGCAATCAACAACTGAGGTACTTGCCCAAATATTCTTATTTTTACCATCTTTGATTATGCTTCAATATTCTCAAAAATGCACAACTTCATGTTCCACTTTGAGCTGATCAAGAACTGCTTATCCCCTCTCTGCATCCTGTTCCTCAAACGACCCAAAGCCCCGACTTTTGCACAAGTACTCATCTGATTTTGCATGCTTTTTTCTGCCACATACCTGATGCCTTGCCTTTTGACAACGCACCTCCATTTGCTGTTGTTAAATTCACAGACCATGCTAATCTCTCCATGGGCAGGACGCCATTCCCACTCTGCTACTGGCCCAGCCTACACATATGGCACGGAAAGGAACATGCTCGGTTGTTACAGGCATGTGTTTACATCCTTCCTTGGCTCAGGGCCCTGCAGAAAGGTCCTCATCTGCTCCCAAGTATGGCAATGTTCATACCGTACCAGGCGCTACACTGTGCCACTAGCACTGTGCCCAACAACAGAGAAAGCACAGTTCAGGGAAGGTACCCTCGCTTCCTCCTCCAAATGCCCCAAAGCCCCACCACCATCCAGGATTCTCATCTGTTAGGTTATCCCCATCCATGCAGACCATCATCCACCGGCAAGACTGCAGAGTAGCCTGCTAAAGCACAAAGTTAATTCAAGTGCCTGAGACAGTCTGCATTTTGACTGTAGCTGAGCCTTTCCCTGGTTTCAGACCAGACAGAAAATCTCAACCAGCAAATTAGATGATCTCTTCTCATGCAATGTTGACCCTTGCCAATCCTTTGCAATAGCTGTGCACTGAGCAGCGGGGCCTCATCTCCACCTGGGAAGTCTCTTCTCTTGCAGCAGTGCAAAGAGCAGTGATTAGCAGGAAACAATTGCAGGCTGCAGCATGCAGTCTTACCTTATCTACTCTGTCCTTCTGAACCCCGTAATGGCCTCCAAACCCTTTGGCATAGTCTGTATGGAAAAGACAAGGCTATTTTATAATATTTTATATTCTGCGTGCACCTCCAATTTCACTATGCTATGACCAGTGAAATGAGTTAGCTTTGTTTGCATCTCATCACATATGGAACTAAACAGAGGTAACACATGCAAAATGCTGTGGACAGTAGCTTTTAAGCCTCCTTTCTGCAAAGTGCATGGGTGTTCAGTGCTGTATGCTGGGAAATCTGCTTCCAAGGCACTGGGATGAGAAGCCAGCCATGTCATCTGAGTGCAATGTGGCCTTGGTCACTGAAGTTAAAAACACAGTAGTTAAGCTATTCCTGGAACCTGCTTTGCCTCATTCCCATGTCATCATCTTTTGAACGAGCTTATGATCAGGAAGGTACCTCCCAGCAAAAGCACAGTAGTCTGGGAAGCCTGATTCAGGGACTTGCATTCAATGTCCCCCACTGATCCAAGCATGCACCTACTCCGGCAGAGCTTACCCTTGCGCTTTGGGGGTTCACAATGTTCCAGCTGCTCCACAACATGCCACATGTGTTCAGTTTTCAGCAGCTGGTTCTCTGTCAAGTACGAACCGCTGGCTCTAGGTCTGTGTGTTGCTACCTCTGGCAGCATTGACTTACCTGTTTGGGACGCATGGGGTTGCACTTCCTCCTGATGGTCCCAGCCAAGGGCACTCTTGTCCTGACGATCCCTCTGGACCCCAAACTTCCCACCAAAGCCCACAGAGTAGTCTTCAGCCACAGGGATCCAGATCGTGGCATGGAAGAGAACAG